AAGAATATACAAATTAGGGACGGTTAGAATCTTTAGTTCTTTAAAAAGTTGTTTGCAAGAATGTTTTACGGGTTTAAAAGTCATAATTCTAAGTATTCTTTTTTGAAGTTTAAAAAGTTGATACGAATCAGATGTGACGCCCCAAAGCTCTATTCCATACTGTAAAATTGAGGAAAATAAAGCGTGATAAATCATTAGTCTAGTTTTTAAATCAACAACATTTCTTAAGACCAACATTTGAAAACATACTGAGTTTAACTTTTTAGAGGTGTTATGAATGTGATTTTTCCAATTCAATAAGCTATCTACATCAATTCCTACAAATTTTGCTGTGTTGCTAAGATTTATTTTATCATTATCAAAATAAACAAAGCCTTCAAGATCGTCCCTACACTGTGCAGTTTGAAATTTTACTATTTGTGTTTTAATGTGGTTCATTTTTAAACCGTTTACTTTAAACCATTTTGACAGATCTTGAAGAGCTTGATTCAAGGCTAAACTTAGTTCATGACTGTCTTTTGATTTAATGATGGCTGTCGTATCGTCAGCATATAACAACAAACTAGGTTTAACATTCTTAGGTAGATCATTTATGTACATCAAAAACAATAACGGTCCTAATATAGAGCCCTGAGGCACCCCCATAACAATCTTTTCCCATTCAGAAGCATACTTAATTTTTTCTTTAATAATAACTGTTCTTTGAAAGCGATCGTTTAAATATGATTTCAACGACAAAATAACTGATTCTGAGAATCTATAGGAGGATAATTTATCAAGAAGAATTTGATGGTGTACACTATCAAAGGCTTTGGATAGATCACAGAACACACCAATAGTGCTCTGTGACCCATCCAAGCTCTGTGTTATTGAATTTACAAAATGAGCCACAGTGGAAGTGGTACTTCAATTTTTCCTAAAACCAAACTGTTCATCAGCTAATAAGTTATTGGATTCCAGAAAATAGGACATTTGATTGAATGCATTTTTTTTCAAATATCTTTGAAAAAGAAGGCAGGACAGAAACAGGTCGGTAGCTATCTGAATTACTCTTAGAACCTTTTTTAAATAATGGCTTCACCTCTGCATACTTCAAATGATTAGGGAAAGTGCTATTGGTTAAAGTCTGATTGATGATTATGGACAATGGCTCAGCAACAAACTTAATTACTTTTTTTATCATAGAAGTTGAAATCCCATCCCAACCAGCCGTTTTTTTATCGCTTAGTGACTTGACTATTTTGATAACTTGCTGAGGTGTAACTAAACTAAAAGTTAAAATATCAGGCCTATGTGTGATTGATTTTTTTACTAGTTCCATTGCCTTACTCTTGGAAAAATTTACCCCTAAATCCTTCCCTACCTCAATAAATTTAGAATTAAAGTGACTTGCAATAACTGTGCCATCTGAGACTAACTTGCTTTCAATAACTAAATCAGGAAAAGAATTATTGATTGGCTTGTAACCAAGTTCGGCTTTAACCACAACCCATGCTGCTTTAGTCTTATTACTAGCCTTATTTATATAACTACAATTATACATTTTCTTTGCTAGGTTACAAACAGATTTAAAAACTTTTTTGTAAATTTTTACATAGCCAATAAAGTTAACATCAGTAGAACTCTTTGCTAAGTTGCTTAACATTCTTTTCTTTTGACTAGAAATTTGAATACCTTGTGTTACCCATTTTTTATTTACTGTTTTCTGGTTTGAAAGGGAAAGATTCCTCAAAAATTCTTTGAAAAGAACCAAAAAAATTATTACTGTTTATAAAAAGGTTGTTATTTTTTGTAGTATTCCACTTCATTTTGCTGATAAAGTTTATAAAGTTATTAATATTTCTTTCAGAAAAAATTCTTTGCTTAAAAGAAGTGTGTAATTTTTGTCTATCCTCATCATTTTCCTGTAAAGAAATAAAAAGAGACCTGTGGTCAGAAAGACCAGTTTCAATATTCATACAGATTTTTGTATCAATTGGTTTAGTTTTGAATGTTATGATATTATCCATGCATGAAATTTTATTCAGCGTAATTCTTGTTGGTGATTCTATATTTATACCTAGACCAAAAATATCTAACAAATTCAAAAAATCCAATCTCTGTTGTGGAAAAGTACATGTATCTAAAATGTCAACATTAAAGTCACCTACAATATAAACATCCTTAGAACCTAGCTCTTTCTGCAGTAAAGTAAACACATTTTCTAATTTATTTAAAAAAATTCTAAAATTTGAAATACATGGAATTCTATAAATGGAAATAATAATTGCATTGAAACAAACTATCTCAATACAGCACATTTCAAAAACTAACTCATCACTGAATATACAAAGATCCTTTCTTTCAAAGAAATTCAAATTATTTTTTATTAATATACATGAGCCTCCATGAGCTGTATTTTCTCTACAAAAATGAGCAGCAACTGTGTAATTTTCTATACCATTTAAAATATTGATTTGATCTTTTTTAAGCCAATGTTCATTTAAGCTAAGCACAGATATATTAGACTCAAGCAAAAGTAGGTCCAATTCATTTTTTTTATTTGTAATTCCTCCTTGTATATTCAAGAGCATTAACCATGCATATTTTTTACTTAACCTAGCCTCCTCCCTCACAGATAGGCCATACAAAAGATTTCTTTTTAGGTTTCTGCTATTATTATTTAAAAAAGAACCATGATTTGAATTACACATTACTTTTATAGCACATTGCTTTTATTTTATGCTTTTTTACGAGCTGTAATACATAAATTTAAAAATAATTATAAATGTAGTTTTTTTTTATATACGTATACCTAGTTAAATAGTTACATGTTACAGTTTTAAAATATGTTATTTTACTGCAGGGTGCCAACCAAACAGAAGGTTTAAATAAACCATTGTTTTGTGTGATTTGTTTTTATTGTATCAGTTGTAAATAAGCTGTGAAGAATAAAGCACTTTTTCCTTTCTTTCTTTCTTTCTATAGCCTACTTGTGCTTTGCGTTTGCGATAAGAGAGGACGAGGAAAATTTGGTTCTTTTAAATTAGATGTTGTCATAAATGAAAAAAAAAATAATAGTGCTGCACCCTGTTGGTAAACCTTATAACTTTTTAAGGCGGGTTACACACCGGTATATCCGACATGATGTCTCAGATATTTTTCTTGCCTGCGACATGATGTGAGACCTTCCAACCGTTGGACTTAGATCAGCCTAGTTCCCTACTGTTGAGACCCTGGTTAGTAGAACTGCCTCTCCCTATTTATAGAATCCACAGATTAACTTGGGCAGGATTCTTATGTTCCAGCAGGCTTCCTGTGTTTTTGAACTGCCAATAACATCACAAAATGCTCTGGTGAGTTGAAACAGATCTTATTAATTGTCTGAAGACTTCATATGTTATTAGGAGTCAGCAGGACCACCGGCCATCTTTGATTTTCTCCCCATAACGGCAATCTTAATTGTAGTGTTGGGCATGGACAGTCGATATATCAGAAATGTCGATGTTTGTAAGCCATAATTATTAGTAATATTTGACTCCGATATTTATTTATTTTTCACTTTCACCGTCACTTCGCATCGGAAGTAATTATTTCTCTATTTTAAGTAAAAACTACAGCTAAGAGGTGGCATGACAATACTGACTACACCAAAGTGCAAGTGTCAGTCAGTTTTTTTTTTGTTCACTATGTTCATGTTCGTTCGTACAGTCCAGTCACACCTCTCCATTCCATTCACGATCGTGAAGACAGTTAACAGTGGGTGGAGGGTTCTGTACCCTCACTAGGCCTACTCATCCTCTGTGCAGTCTAATAAAACGGAAATAAACCTAAAAAAATTTAAAACCATAATATAGATGATATAACACATTTTGTATCGATTTCCCACCATATTTTATCATTTTAAATGGTAGTATGTATTTCTTAACAGGTAAGTTACTTTGAGCCTGGGGTCCACCTAACGTCTCCACTCTCAAAATAAATGTGAATGTTTGAACATTACATAAAACGAATGTTGTAAATGATTTCCTGCCACATTTTATTGTTAAAAAGGGTAGTATGTAATTACCTGTAAAAAAAAAGGTTATGAAAATATAAACCTATACAGTGGTGTAACTAAAACATGGCTTTGAGGGGGGGGGGTGAAGGAGCCCCAACACCGGGGGGCCTGGTAGCAAACAGGGTGGTCAGGGGGTCCCCCCAAAAAATTTTGAAAAATTATAACTCCAAAAATCAACCAATCAACCCAGTTGAGGCTGTCTCTGGCTGGTCAGAACCAGGAAATAGCAAGTAACTAAATCATAATCACAAGACAACAAACAAATTTTATTAAGTTGTTATTGTACTGTAGCCTTCTGAGCTGCGCGTGAAGAGCTGTAAGTATCTACTAAGTTTTTATTAGCCTATAGGCTAAATTATCTTAACAGGCTGAAAACTTAATGTACCGGTATTATTGATCAGTAGACCTACAGTGTGGACATTTGTTGAGACACTTACTTAAGACACAATCAACAATGAGGATTGACATTCAAAACCAATAATGTGAGAAACCCTTATGGATTTCTTATGGGTAGACTTTGTATCTCTTGTCAAAAGCATCCCAATGAAAATTTTGATCGATAGCCTATATCGTTTGGTTAGGTTAACTTAACTAGGGTACAGTTTCTTAACTGGGCTATGCTAATATCGGTTGAAACCATCGATTTGATTAGTAAACCTTCATGCGATTTTTTCACCATCAGCAAGTTTGGTTGGTTAGGTTAGGTTAAGATAGTTTAATTTGATAATAAATAGGCTATATTTAAAAATATCGATTATTAATCAATATTTTCAATTTGATAGTTTCAATCGATATTAGCATAGCCCAGTTAAGAAACTGTACCCCTTAACGAACCAAACTATATCGAATGAAACAATCGAACTTAATCGATATTTTCATTCGGTTGTTTTTTACAACAGATACGGAAGGGAAGTCTAGGCCTGTTACCCTTTCAAAAATATTCCAGAAATGCAGGACCTACCTTTAACTAAACTGGATGTGAAACAAATTTAATATAGTATACAGTTAGTATTTTACTTAGATAAATACACGCACGAACAGTACTCCTAGATCCTACATCACAATTCAATAATAACACCAAACGAGTATAAACGACCAGACCAAAATAACATTTTGAGGTTAGCTGTCCTGCCCAGTGCCCCTGGTTAAGCCCCTGGCTTCATCCGAGAGCTTCGTCCCGTCCCATCGTCCGTCGTCGTAAGTTCGTGATCTAGTTCCTGGTTCCAGTACCCAGGGCCCAGTACAGTACAGTAGTTTTGTTACTTGTTGAGTTGTTGTTTGTTACGACGGCGCTGAAGGGCCAAAGAGAAAGAAATATTTTTACACTACTTCGACTTTTAAACACGAACTTTCGACTTTCAAACACGAAATTTGAACTTTTAAACTCGAAATCTCGAGTTTTAAACACGAAATTTCGACTTTTAAAACACGAAATTTCGACTTTTAAACTCGAAACTTCGATTTTTAAACTCAAAATTACGACTTTTATACACGAAATTTATGTATTTGGTGGAGGGGATTGATGACGGCTGTATTATTCTTATCACGAGGTGTTAGGTGTTGGAGTTGGCTACATTCTGTTATATAATGGATGAAGGTCACAAAGAACGCCTTATCCAAGATTATTTTAGATTAGGCCTTCATAATGCAGAGATTTTAGCTATTTTACTCTCAAAACATAATATTTTAAAAAGTGAGAGACAGTTGAAACGGAAACTGTCAGCGTTGGGACTATACAGAAGACGAAACTATTCAGATCTTCAAGCAGTTTCTTCCTTTATGACGGCTCCATGGCTATAAATGGATGCATTTAAAATGCATTCAAGCTGGATACGTGGTATCGTGGTATCTCAAAAGCAAGTGAGGCCGGTGGGGCACACGGAAGTTTTTCTTAGGTGCCGTTTGACGTCACTAACTGCTGACGCCACTAACTGCTGCGTCTGAAGAAACAGAAAATTTTATAATTTTTCTATTATTAAATTAAACTGTCATAACCAAACCAAACTAACCAAACGTGCTGATAATGGAAAAATCTAATTAAGGTTTACTAATCTAAAAAATAGTTTTGTTCATAAAATAAAATTATAAATGCCTAAAATTCAATTGTATAATTTTTTAATTATAAAATTAAACTGTCATAACCTAACCAAACCAACCAAACTTGCTGATATGGAAAAATTTGTTAACAAAAAGTTAGTGCTACCGACGGGATTCGAACCCGGTACTACTGGAATATCAGCCCGCCACGCTATCCACTACACCACCGAGGCCGATGGCATCGACCGTATCGTTGCGGTATTGGTGTTCCCTCAAAGTGACGTCAGCAGTTAGTGACGTCAAACGGCACCTGAGAAATCTTCCGTGTGCCATTTCGCTCCGTGTCCCGCAGGGGGCTCACGCTTGCGTGGGTACGTGGCCTAGCGACCACGCGGACCCTAGCTCTTGCCCTCCAGAGGGGAGGTAATTGCCCGGTGTTTGAACCGGCACTTCAGGTAGGCCACAGTTATGGACGACTGGACAAGCCAGCCTCTTTGGGTGGTACCCAAAGTGAGAGTACCCAGTGACATTTCCTCCATTCAGGGTGGTGGGGTGTTCAGCTCTGCGAGACTTCGGTCTCCCATCTGCCTGTAGCTGTGGTTGTGACTGGAGTTCTTCGGGCTCGTCCTGCCTGTTGTGTACGACTGACATTTTGTGAGGCATATCCTCGGCTCTGGAAGTAACCTCGTCCTGGGAGGTGAAAAATTGGGTAAGTTAGCCCCCAAAGGGGAGGTAACTGCTCGGTGTCAGAATCGGCATTTTCAAGTAGGTCATAGTTATGGACGACTGGACAAGCCAGCCTCTTTGGGTTTACCCAAAGTGAGAGTACCCAGTGACATTTCCCCATCCAGGTTGTGGGGGGTGTTCAGCTCTGCAAGAGGTGGAAGTGCGCCACCAATCTATCATCTGCCTGTAGCTATGATCCTTTGGACTCCGGCCCGCTTGTTGATGTGCGACTGGCATTTAGTGTGGCAAATCCTCGACTTTGGAAGTAGCCTTCCTGGAGGTGAAATCGGGCGAGTACCCGTCAGCTCACGGGGACACTCTAGGGGAACGTAACTTTCCGCAGTGTGAGGGCAACGGCTGGGCGCACTCCATCAGCCAATCCCTGTCTCTGAGACCGGAAGGTATGGTTATCTAGAGTGTGGGGGGTTCTCCCTGGAACCTCAATTGAGCAAAGGGTGTCGCCACCTTTGGTGGATAGGTTCATCCGGGTGGGACCCACTTCTATTCCTGCCTCCTTTTGGGAAACCCTGATGGCCTGGCAGTGATGTTGGGCTTGATGGGCAAACGAAGTAGATCGGGTGCTGGGTTCAAGCCCGCTGGGGGTGTTCAGGGATCTATCGCCTTGGTCACCTCTGGTTTCCCAGCAACTGGGTAAGGCCTCGATCGGGTAGTGGTGTAAATAGGTGGTTGGGGTTTCCCCCATCAGCTTGCTGGTGGTCCCCTTCTTCCTGGCTTTGATGGCGGGTTTTGCCTGTCAGGGATTGGATAGGTCCCGAGTGTTGCTTGCACTAAATGCGTCAGGGCATTCCACTATGGTCCTTCTGGGTTTCGTACCTGGGGGAACCCAGGTGAAGTGACGCTTAAACAAGTAGCCGGTATCCCTGGTTAGGATTGAGGGGCAACCCTCTCTCCGAAGGGTTGCTTCGGCAGCCGGTGAGCCTGATGACCTTAAGTCATCCTCCCATGGTGTACCATGGGTCGGTGCGTATGCTTCGGCCTACATCATGGGGCCCGGGTATGTTTAATTATAGGTACCGGGTTTGCAGTCAGGGAGCTTCTGGCTCTTATGACAAAACGAAATGGAAATGGAAATGTGCCATTTCGCAAGTGAGGCTTATTTTAAAAGAATTGGATCCTATTGGTGTAGAAACAAGAAGACGGCAACGGCTACGTCGCAGACAGTACCAGAATAAGGGTCCCAATTTTTTCCCTTTCCCAGAAGATTTCGTGTTAATTGTAATATCGAAATTTCGTGTTTAAAAGTAGAAATTTCGTGTTTTAAAACTCGACATTTCGTGTTTAAAAGACGAAATATCGAGTTTAAAAGACGAAATTTCGAGTTTAAAAGTCGAAGTAGTGTAAAAATATTTCTTTCTCTATGGCCCTTCAGCGCCGTCGTAGTTTGTTGTTGTGAATTTACTAGTTGAGAGCATTGAGATGAGATATGAATGAATGAATTCGAATTGACAGTTTGGAGTTTGGACTTTGGAGTTGACACCTAAACCATAGATTAAACATAATCCAGGGAGTAATCTATGCCTAAACCATCCTAAACTAATTAATTATGGAACGAAGTGACCAAAAATATAATATTGTTATGTGACATAAATGGATATTAAACATGAAATATTCTGTTTTAAATGCCCAGATATTGAAATAAGGATGATACGCTTCAATTTAAAATATGAAAAATGAGTAAGTAAGTAGGCTAAATTAACAATTATTATAACCTATTGCCTGATGTTACTCACTGTGATTTTAGGTTAAGAGTGGTACCAGATTTAGTTCAATATCACTCAGTTGTAACATTTAAACACGAGATGACTGAAGGACTATTAAAAACTTAACTTATCACAAGTCCTTCATCTTGACAGCAAATAAAGTACGCAGAGGATACGCGTCCGGTAACAGGAAGTGGATTAGGCGCCCGGCAGTTACTGTCATAACCTAACCTAACCAACCAAACTTGCTGATAGTGAAAAAAATCAAATGAAGGTTAAATTCTCTTTATAACATAAAATTATAAATGCCAAAAATTCTAACAAAAGATGTACAGTTAAGAAGAAATTACATTCAAAGCAAAATCTGTGATGGAAAGTTAAAGAAACCGATGGGTTTCGAACCAGGGACCTCTTGGATATCAGCCGAGCACTCTATCCACTACACCACGAACAACGCTGGCCGAACATCGTATCGTTGTGGTTATGGCGTTCCGGCACCCCACAACCCGGTGACGTCACTACCGGACGCCTAATCTACGTCTGGTTACCGGACGCGTATCCTCTGTGATAAAAGTTAATAATCACCAATATAGGCTAACATTTATTACAAATCAAGGCTTTCCACTTGGTTGCTTTATTGGCAAAGGATGTACACGTCTGGTGGTAACCGAACGTGGATTAGGCGTCCGGCAGTGACGTCTCTGGGTTATGGGGGGCCCGGAACACCATTGACACAACGATACGGTGGAATGCCGTCGGTGTTTATTTTAAAGCTGCCCATACACGGGCAAACATGTTCGCGAGTCTGTGGGTGTACTGTACACGCTTGCGAACATGCTCGGTGTTTCCAACAGACAGTCAAGCATGCTCAGTGATTCTGACAGACGATGGAGCATGCTCGTGAACATGCTCGCCACCACCGCCCAGTACTATTGCTTATCTCGAGCTGTGACAGTCAAGTTGTGTTTAAAATTGATGCTAACGCTGTTGGCTATTTGCGGTGGTCTTGTTTTTTTGGAAAATGAGAAAAAAACGCAAGCCACAAAAAATATTGTGTAAGATTTGGCTTGAAAACAGGAACCGGGTCACTCACATGTCTTTGAGTAGAACCAGCATTATATGATAATAAAAATGAACTGAGGATAACAGAAGACTGTCTCGAAGACATTTTCTGATGTAGGTATTTTCCAAACGTACCTATTTTAACTTAGGCCTACGTGTACGCTCGCGAACATGTTGGTCGTCCCCACGGACGGGCGAGCATGTTTTTGTTGGGGCTTGGGCTCACCAGGGCCAACAAGTCGAGCGCCGAGCCCAAAATGCTCTCCCCTACGAAGGCTCGCAGACCCCATAAACTTACACGGGCGAGCATGTTCGCGTTGACGGTGAACATGCTCGCCTGTTTATGGGTGGCTTAAGACATTGGGGATATACTTTTGCAACTCTAACAGAGTGTATAGCGTCACTCTTCTCTTGAGGGAACACCATTACCGCAACGAGACGGTTCGAAACCTTCAGTGAATGTGGCGTAGTGGGTAGCGTAGCCGGGTCCGCGGAATTGGCTAACTCTGGAACTCGCTAACCCCATGTTAAATGCCCTATCTTAAAATTTGGTCGATGAGAGGAACTCACTAACTTGTTCGGTTTCGGAATTGGCTAACTCCGGAACCCGCTCTAGAGCCGGGTTAGCGAATTCCGTCCTCGTACGGAAGTCGCTAACTCGGTCCCTCGGCGGAACTCGCTAACTCCCAATCAGAAGCCTTGCGCGCCGTCCAATGGGAGCCAAGCACGAAGATTGTAGGCCAGTTTTGTCGAAAGTGTCGTACCTGCAATCGTATCGGTACCATAATGTCGTATACTACGGAAAATTAGGAGTAAGAGTAAGAGCAATGTAGTCGATAAAATAAATATATATTCAGAATTACGTTTCATATTATTCTTATGATTATTATTAGGGTGTAAAATGCATCATAGTCTTACCAAAGACTAACCAACACAAGTAAACTTTACATCCCATTTTAAATTTTGAAGCTCGTTTTTCGTGTCTAGTTCATGTCCGGTGACACTGATCGCTAGTGTAGACGAAATTGTGTTTATATTTTTATTGTAAACTTCATGATTTGCTCCCTTCTGTTTGGTTGTATGACTAGGGGACGTGTTATTAGTTATAATTAACGTGACCATATATATTGGAGTACGAAGCTGGACACCCCATTCCGGGGGGTCTGGGGGTATGGAATACCCCTCAGCTGAGAGGGGGGTGGAAAAATGTTGAAAAATAATATCTGTAAACTAGCGTTTTTATGCAATCTAGACATAATAATTTGTAAAACATAAATTGGTTTTTAATTGAGTTTTTATTATATTTAACCTATTTGTAAGTTCATTGAACGGAACATATCTTTACTTAGAAATCTCCTCAAAAGTGGATAGCTTCACCAAGTGCACGTAAACAGTGGGAACTGAGCGAAGGACGTGAATTTACAAATGGCGGGTCACATCACTTTTGTTTGTCTCAAACTTAAGTTTAAATAAACGGATATTTCGCTTGTAACTCACTCTTAAATGTGAATTTCCGTTTGGTCATTATCTAATGCACAATTGAACAGTACAATAATCAAATCTCAAACAAACTTTCTTTGCACCGAATGGTACCTAAAAGCAGTAGTATGTTTTCTGTGCTAAAAAAGAGAGGTTAAGGTACTGTAAACAACTTGACAGTTTAGTTTAGTTTAGGCCTGGCGCACAAGGTTGATTTTTCGATTGGCCGATTAAAAAATCGTCCAAAAATAAATCGCCCTTGATTTATGTCTAGGCGCACACGTGGCGACTTTTTAGTCGAGAAATGGATTTTTTTAGTGCGTTCAAGCTATCCTAAAATGGACTTTGTTGAATTAACCTGTGTTTGTGATCTTCTAATTATCAAAGAAAAAAAAGAAGAAAACCTAAATATTGGGTCCATCCGATAGTAAGTCAGGGACTTTTAAATCGACAGTTTTATAAACTATACACTTTACGTGATGACAGTAAAAAGTCCTTTAATTGCTTTGAATGTCTGATGAAAGTTTCAGTTTTTATTATAAAAGCTGTGGCCTTTTTTAGCAAAGAAAACAACACAACTCACACTGAAGTTCACTGACTCCTGTGGAGAACAACAAGCGACTGGCCGATTTTTAGTCGACCATGTGCGCGGACTGATAACAATCTGTACGTTACAGATTTTCGGGCGACAATCGCCTCGCCTACAAATCTGTGGCAAAACCCAGATTTTAAAATCGGCGCAATTCTCGATCGCCTGTGTGCGCGCTTTCATTCAAATACATGATGCACAGATTGGCCGATGAAATAATCGCTCGTGTGCGCCTAGCCTTACTGACAACAGTGACAACCTGCGTCTTTTGAGGCCGTAGTAGCCTATAGTGCTTTAACACTCGCGCAGAAATAAATTGTACTAGTGCCGATCTTTGACGAGTATAGTAGGCCTATAGATAGTTGAGTTCATGCGATCGAGGATCGATGAACGATGACATGCTTATTGTACAGTAATGTAATTGTTGTATTAACCAAATAGGTTAATAGGTTGGTTTCCTTTAGTTTTCCTTATAGTTACTAACAAGTATTCTTACACGAACTAAACATTAGTGTGGAAAGGCAAAATTTCATATTCGATATATTATATTTCAAACGCCTGACCTCCAAGGCGGGACATTTAGGCGTCCCCCGGCCGATTGTGGGGACAGCGGGACAACTTGTTGTAAAGCGAGACTGTCCCGCCGAAAGCGGGACGTATGGCCACGTTAGTTATGATTAGCACGTTTTATTTGTTTAAACGACGTTTTTAATTACTGAAAACAAGAAACAAATTGTAAACAAAACACGACCTCTAGGGAGAGTGCACCGGACAGAACTAACAATAAAATTGTCTTCAGCCGATCCATAAGGACGAGAAATGTACTAATATATTAAGGCAGGGGTGCCCACAAGGGGGGGCCGTGACGCAGACTGCGTCATTGAAATTCTTGGGGGGGGCTCAAAAAATTCAAATGGGGGGGGGGCTAAAGTTAATTGCAACAGTGTTCAACGTGACGACAATCCAAAATACATGACGAAATCAAGTAGAAAGTGGATAATTAATGACAATAGTTATATTATTGAATTAAATTAGTTAAAATAGGATTTTAGGATAGTTTAGGATTCGTGTAGAAAGTTATTATTTAAGATTAGCAAGATGTGAGATCTAAGAGAGGGAGCGCACGGGATGGCTCAACTGCTGTGATACAGACACATCCAGCTACTACGCGACTTAAGCACAGCAGAACGCTTTGTTGACATAAAGCTCGTTAAAATACAATCAAGTAGCAAGTAGCATAGGCATAGGCTACAATACTTTACACTATTGTGTATACTCGATTACCTGAGTTAATAGGGAGAGGGGGGGAATGAAAAATACGGTTAATCCAATATAGTATAAAAACAAATGACAAACTCATTAAAACGCTGTAAACAGCCATTAAGTCACGATTTACATTTTTATAAACGAAATTCAATATTGCACAATCATTATTATTGTAAATTTCAAATTATTTATCTTGGTTCAGTTGTACAAACGGCAACGTTTAAAATTGTAGCTAACTCAAACTCAACTAATCACTGGCCAAACATTACATTGCTATAAATAACGTAAATATTAAAGGAACCTTTAGAAAGTGTTATAAGGTACTGCTCATGATAAACAGATAAGGCAGATAGGTGCTGTATCACAGCATAGGAATTGATAGATAAGTAATAAAAAAGTGTAATCTATATATATAAAAGGCAAAGCCCTCACTGACTGACTGACTGACTGACTGACTCACTCACTCATCACTAATTCTCCCACTTCCCATTTACCTAGGAGGCTGAAATTTGGTACACCGATTCTTTGGGCATTAAATAGGACAACTAAGTAGTTTTTATTCTGATCGGGCTTTCGGG